GTGAGAGTTATAGTATAATTTATAGTTAGATTAAGGTTAGGATTAGAGTTTTTTTATATTATAATCTTATAATATTTCTATATTGCCCACCTATACTAAAGAAGATCCCCAATTTTAAATATCAAAATTGATTAGGATATTGATAAGATACTGTACCTTCGCTTCAAGTTTGTAAAAATTTAAAGAAGTTATAACACCATCAGGTGGTTGCAATAATTGAAAAGCACGGTAACTACCGAATAATTACAGTTTTAAAAAGTTTTTTTTTCATAGTAAAAAAAAAAAAAAAAAAAAGACTTTATAATATTTTTAGTAAAAATTTCAAAGAAGTCTATTTTACCAGAACACGACTTTGTGATCAAGATGCGATGAAAATTACTGTATGTGCAATTTAAAAATAGGTTGAGCTTATATTAATGGAAATACTCAATTTGGATTGAAATGGATTAACTCTCAATATAAGAAACCTTTATGTAAGAAACCCTCGATATAAGAAAGATTTTGCAAGTCCTAATTAAAAATTTTATAATAAAAAGCTCTTGATATAAGAAATCTCGATATAAGAAATGTTTTGACTAGACCCGGCAACTTTCTAATATCAAGATTCACTTGTATTTAAAATTTTTAAATAATCAACTTTATATTTGTAGAATTCAAATTTCTTAAATTCATTAATTTCCCGAATCGAGAAGAGTTGGACAACATATTACAAGACTTTTCCAGTAAATTACAGTAGGTTAGGTGTTGCTTTTTTTCAATGTGTGAACTTAAATCTAATTATGTGTTCTTTATAGAATTGCCATTGGTAAAAATGGACTTGACTGGTTTTATAAATGTAACTGATTCTGGAGTTATGCATCTTGCAGATGCTAATTTAAAAATGAATTTTCATTTTATTAATTATTCTGAGTTATTGAAGGTAGCTTATTTATTTCAGCCTTACTTTCTTTTCCTTGCTGTTACGAAATTGTCTGACATTGGAGTGTTGTTATGAAATTGTATAGTTATTATTATCAATTTTACAAATATTAATAATCTTTATACATATACATATAAAGATTTAGAAAATTTAGTTGCCAATATTGTATCCATAATACATATTATGCAAATATTTGCTGCCATACGAAAATGCCATTAATATCCAGGCAAAAATTTTTAATCAGGCCTACGTGAACTTACCCACCTCGGTTTAAATAAAGAACGTGTCAAGAATGCATCATTGTCTACAATACGTAAATTTACACATGCCAATAGGAAATTAAAATACGTATCTTGACGTTAGATATACACGCGCTACTGATAAAGGAGTAAGGAGCTATCTTTTCTAAGAGTATACGATATATTCGCAAACAATTATAACGTTCTCATATTATTTTTATGTATGCTTACTGTATTTATCTTCCTTGAATTTGTATTTCACTCAAGTATCTTTGTCGTGCCGTATTTTAGCTGGTAAGAAAGCATCAAAATTCTATAACACTTATGTAAGAATTTATGACACAAAATTTTAACCAATATTTTTTTTCTTTAGATATTCCTTCACTCAGTCAGTTCACCTTAATGGAATTACCAAAGAAGTTTGAGAAGTTTGTAGAAGAATATTATGATGTTTAAAAAAAAAACTCCTAAATAAAGTTCTAAGCATTAAAATCGATATTCGAGATTTTAGTAGCTTTTTGTAATAAAATACATTAGTGATGATCATATCTACAAAGTACCAATTTTGCCATTCACAAACTTGTAGTAAGATTACGTTGTAGCTTTTTATGACATCTTATCTGTCTGTATCAATAAATTTTGATAGCTTATCATATAAGATTTTTTTTCTGCGTAATTTCCAAAACTCAGGGTTGGAATGCATCAGCATTAAGCTAGATTAGCCAACCAAGTCTATACAACATTATCGGCTGCACATTTTTCTTAATAAATGGGCTACGAGTAGGGTTGGTTTACATAAATTACAATTTTACAATACATGTAATTTTACGTAATTTTCAGTAAATAAGATTTGTAATTTCGTCCCGTTATATATAAAGAAATATATGATCCGAATTGTAACTCCGAAAATTTGATCTCAGAATATCATGTGTCCAAAATTACAAAACTAATTTACCGTAATAATTATTTAATTATTAATACAACACAATTGTTTAATATGTATTATTGTTTAAAAATATTAATAAATTACGTAGTTATGAGATCATTAATACTTATTAATTATTTAATTAGTAATGCCTATTAAATAAAACAAGTATAAAAAGGTTTGAATTTTATCTTTGCTTAGTTAAAAAAAAATGTTTCTGTCCGCTCATAAAGCAACAAAAAAACTTGGAATATCATCACATACATTGCGTCGCTGGTCCAAACAGGGAAAGATCGAATTTAAGATATCAGCATCAGGAACCAGGTTATACGACGTGTCAAAATTTTTTCCTGATGATTCCATTACCACCACTACCGCCTTCAAAAAGAATTATCTGTACGCGCGAGTGTCTAGCCAAAAACAAAAACAGGATCTCGAACGACAAAAGGAAATCTTACTCGAAAAGTATCCAACCTACGAACTTATCAGTGACATCGGATCTGGAATCAACTTCAAACGCAAAGGTTTACAAACCTTATTGGAACGATCATGCAAAGGTCTTGTCGGAGAAATTGTGGTTACCCACCGAGATCGATTGTGCAGATTCGCTTATGACCTTCTCAAACATGTCTTCACTCTCCATTCTACAAAACTCGTGGTTCTCTTCGACGATTCGACGACCGACGAACGTGAGTTGTCCGAGGATATCCTTGCCATCAACACCGTCTTCATATGTAGAATGCAAGGAAGAAGAGCAGCCGAACATAGAAGGGAAAGGAAGAAAAAGAAAGATCACGTTGGTGAGAAAAGGCAAAAAAAGAAAGATGAACGAAAGCGTGAATCGGACATTGAACGTGGAATTGTATCCGAATCATGCACAAAAACAATTGCTAAAACGATGGATGGGATTGATGAGATTGATTTATAACACGATTATTGGGTATCTTCAAAAAAGACATCACATTATCGTTCATATCGATGATAATAAAACTAAATTCAGGAAATCAATAAATTTTCCAAAAACACAATATTTAAGAACCATAGTGTACTTGAAACTAAGAATCAAAAAAGTTTACGATGAAATTCCCAATAATATCATCGATGAGACCATTGATGAAGCAATCAAAAATTACAATGCTAAAGAAAGAGGCTCAAAATTATCATACAAATCAAAGAAAGATCTGAAACATACAATTAGTATACGCGCGCAAAATTTTTCAAAAAAGGATCATGGAAGATTTTATGTGAGATATCTGTTCAATAAAAATATGATATCAGATAGGATTAAACCGAACGAGCTAATTCTGGGAAAGAGAGATTTACGATTCGGCCATCTTGAAACCAAAAGGAATAACAATAAATGGCCATTAACATTTGCACAAGATTGTAAACTAACGTATCATCGTAAAACAAATGAATGGTTCCTATCATGGACGCATGAAAGATCGATAAAAGCTAAAGAAACTTATGAAAAATTTGTAGCGATAGACCCGGGTGTGAGAACCCCGTTTGTGATGTACTCACCAACTAAAGGTACTCACGAGATTGGTAAGAACGATTCTCAGAGGTTGATAAGATTGGGATATCATGCTGACAAACTAAGCTCAAAAAGAGACAAACTAAACAATTCAACATCCAGAAGAAAGAAGAAAAAAGCCAAGAGAATCGATAAAGCTATAGCTCGAATATTTCGAAAAATCAAAAATTTAAGAAACGAACTCCATAAAAAGACTATAAATTATCTTACAAAAAATTACGATGTGGTTATAATCCCGGAGTTTGGAGTAAAAAACATGGTAAAAAGAGAAAAAAGAAAGATCAAATTCAAGGTCGTGAGAAGCATGTTAACGTGGTCGCATTACATGTTCAGACAAAGGCTGAAATTCAAAGCCGAAGAAACTGGTCTGAAAGTAGTGATCCAAGACGAATCTTACACTTCGAAAACATGTTCTAATTGTGGTAACATACAAAATATTGGTGGGAAAAAAGTTTATAAATGTAAAAATTGTAGTTTAGTTATAGATAGGGATGTAAACGGAGCTCGAGGGATATTCCTTCGAGCGTTGCTTGATGGAGCCATATGTATGCATATGTAGGAATTGATAACTGTATTTAGCAATGACTAGTATAGATTATTAATGATGTATTACAATCCATCCGAAAGCACTACACTAAAATACAATCATACGTGCAGGCAAATACTTTTATGATGCACAATATAAATTACCCTAAGGAACTAATTGAAAACGTATCATGTAACTTTTGTACCACTTTGATTAAACATAAAAAGACATAGGCTGTATTAAACCAATTTAATTTTACATTATTTATACAGTTTAAAGTACTTTTTAAAAAAGTAAAACTACTATAAATCAACAAAAAAGAAGTATATAGAAAGTTTTATTAGGGTTGTAGGACTCCACTATTAAAAATAATCAAAATTCTTTTTTGTTTTAGAGAAGTTAGCATAATAGCGACTTCTTAAAATTAGGTTATCACCATGCTAACTTCTCTAAAACAAAAAAGAATTTTGATTATTTTTAATAGTGGAGTCCTACAACCCTAATAAAACTTTCTATATACTTCTTTTTTGTTTATTCGTAGTAGTTTTATTTTTTTTAAAAAGTACTTTAAACTGTATAAATAATGTAAAATTAAATTGATTTAAACAGCCAATCATACGAATGTCTGCCTATGACATAAAAGGTCCTCCGTTGTACACCAGACAATTAAAGTTTTATATTTTATTTAGTGCACGGATTTTTTTCTTTAAAAAAATGAACTCTACACAACTTCGTGAACTTGGTGTCAAATTTGAAGACGGTATTGGTGTTAAAAAAGACGAAAAGAAGGCTTTTGAATATTATATGAAAGCAGCTGAGTTAGGAAACCCGGTCGCAATGAATGATGTTGGTCTTTGTTATCGTAATGGAATTGGAATTGAAATAAATTAACAGAAATCATTTGAATATTGTAAGAGGTCTGCCGATTTGGATAATGCTGAAGCAATGTGTAATGTTGGTTATCGTTATGAATATGGAATGGGGGTTGATCAAGATTATAATAAAGCATTTGAATACTATGAAAAATCTGCTAATGTGGGTGTTGAAGTAGCAATGAAAAATGTTGCCCTATGTTATCGAAATGGTACCGGTACAAAGAAGAATATTCAAGAGGCAAATTATTGGTTCACAAAATATAAAGTCTTCTGAAAACGAATAAATCACCAGATTATATATTTTAAAGACCAAAGCCATTATTACAAATGGTCAACAGAATTAAATGGAAAAGCCTTAATATATGGGAAAGTACCAAAAAGAAAAAAGAGACATTCCAAACAAAAGAAAAATGAGAAGAGTGAAAGTACTCAAGAAAAATTTCAAAGTGATATATTAGATTCCGTCTTTAGCAAAAACTTATTCGAAATCTTAGGAAAAGGACTTGGAATTACTATTAAAAAACCAGGAATTACTAAAGAACCCTTTTATATATCAACTACTCAAATCATTACACCTGAATCTTATAGTAAATGGAGAAAAATATTGTTAAGAAAACAAAATGCTCAAAAACAGATAACATATTTATCTAAAGAAGATTTAAAAATAATCGAAAGAACTCTAAGTTATCTTGAAAAACAAAAAGAAAATAGAAACTTAGAAAAGATTCTAGTATCTAATAGAAAATATGATCGATTTGATGATTACTTAGAAAATAATCTACTCAAAGCAAAAATAATTGCAATCAGAGGAGCAATAGAAGTAGGAAAAACAACATTGGCTCTTAAACTTAAAGAATATTTTATGAAAATAGAACATTAAGTATTCTTAATAGAAGAAATAACTTTATAGCATAAAGACTGGTTATCCATAATGTATTCAGACCTTGATAAATACTCAGTAGCATTCCAAATATTACTCATAATACAATGGAATATTAATTATCAGAAACTAAAAAGATTAGAACTTGAAGGAGTATTAGATGAAAACACTATTATAATCTGCAACTGAATAGCAGTAGAAATTAAAGTCTTTACTAAAAGAAATGTTAAAGAAAATGAAGCAGTACAAGTACTTGAAAAACTGCTCAAACAGGCAGAAACCCAAATATTAAAAATACATATTACCAACTATATATTACATATAAAAAAAAAGAAATGATCCAAAAACAAGTGAAAAGAAATTGACAAGAAGAAAAAGATATAGATAAACAATATCTATATGATATATACAACATGTATAAAGAAATGATAGAAAAAGTATATCCAAAATACATTGAAATATCAACAAACATATTAGATCCAGAAAATATTTTTAGATTTCTATTCATTCATAAAGCAAAAGAACTAAACAGACCAGAAGAGTTAACATACATCAAACAAGTACAAATTGATATTAAAGAATCAGCAAAAAGACAATACACAATCATAACAATTTTTAAAGAAGGAGAATTGACAACATAGCCAATCCAAACTTTAGTATCTAAAAGATCTAAAAATGCTAAAATCTACTCCAAACAATACTCAGAATTCGGAGAACATCTTGAAGAATATAATAAAACATATTGGGAATTGTATAATTAAAAAGAAATAGGATTCTACATAAAACCTGAAAGATTACAGTTCATATAAATACATAATTATTTATTAAAAATAGTTCAGGAACAAATCTTATCATTAATACTAACAATGAAGAATTTTCTAAACCAACATATTATGTAGAAATAGCAATATATTTATATCTAGCATTACTATATGAATGGGATACAATTGAGTATCGAGAATTTAAAAATATGAATAAACCTCAATAGATGATAAAAAACAAATAAACTATCAAGTATGGACACCATCTATCTAATACTATAAAAATCAAATCTTCGATAAATACATACCACAGTATCTTGAAGAATAGACCAATTATAGAAAGATCACAAACAATCTATTTCAACAACAATTTCCAGATAAAAAAATTCTAAATAAATATAAAACACCTTATAACAATAACAAACAAACCACTGTGGTGGAAAATCTTAAATATCTGTAAATGTTAAAGCACAATTCACCACCAAGGGCTCTAGCAAAGCATCCAGTGTACGGGTTACCATGCTCTCAAAAAATTCTGATCACACCTGTTATACATAATGATCATCACACTTATAGAAAAATATGATTACCAAAATCAGCAAATATTAAATTACCAAAATTGGCAATCTAATTATTGAATTTATCAATAATACTATATTATTAATCACATATTATAAATCTTTGTTTATAAATAACTTTTACAAATCATATTATTAATTAGCTTATTAATCATATCATTAGTCATAAATTAGTCATAGCTTACAAATAGCTAATTATATTAGTAATTTAGCTTAGTAATCTTTATAATATAGTCTTCTTGAATGTATTTAAATAATAGTTTTTGACCTTTGAAATATTAGACATGTTTGACATGCTCACTTTTGATAAAAATAGCCTCTAGATAGCTCAAAATTCCTTACAATCAAAAAAGCATTTTAGCTTAGCTGCCAAGCAGCTTAACTAACAAATTTGACTTATAAAATAGCTCAACTAAATGTAACATGCTTAGAATAGTAGTTTACCTCTTCTACTATGAGAATATACAAGCTCTACAAAAAAACAGCTAGCATCCAGAATAGTTATTACTACAAACAATCAATGCATCCAATGTAGGAAAAAGAATTTACTCTTTTTCAACAAGCAAGCTCTTAAAGACAAACAATATACAGAATAATTACTACAACATACTCAATATACCCAACACTTATAAACAAAGTGGTGAAGAAAACAATTACTCAAAATACCCAACTAAAGAACTCTTAAATCTGAACTATTAACTTGAAACTCAGATATGAGAAATATAATATGTTTAACAATATTAATACTCACCAAGAGCAAGAGCTAAAATAAGCTTATAGCACTATTACTAAACAATACTTGAGAAGAATCATTCTAATAAAAGAATAATAAAAATCTGTAATAACACCCAACAAGAGTGTTTTCATAAATACTCAAAAAAATTGATATACCCAATAAAGCAAGACTACCTCTTCATCAAACAGAATAAGAGACAGAGTTTATCCCCTTCTCTTAAGCACTACAAATATTAAACTAATAATAAAATACTAAAACAATATAAGCTTCACAACATCGAAGCACCCAATATGCAAAAAAAAACATAATTAATAACTTATACCAATAACTGATATAATAGAGATCTGACAAACTTCATATGCTCAAAGGCATCCAATGAAACTACAGGAGTCTAGACATGGCATTGAATAATATTAAAGAACAATAATATTATTGTTGTCTCTTCATAATTAATATTGAAACAATAGGTGCTCAATACATAATACTTCACACAAAAATATATTATAATACTAAAAGTGCAAAATAGAAATATATTATGCTCACATAATATATAAAAGGGATGACATGAAAATGAAAAACATTCAGGAATTAAAAGAGCTAAAAGATATAACATTGAATATTAGTATAGTACTTTACTAAATAAATTTAATAAAAACTAATTTATTAAATACAAATCTTATACAAGTAAAATAGTATAATCCTATAATTTTTCTATATAAACAGTAAATAATTTGATGTCAAAGTAATAAAGCTTAGATAGCTTAATGCTCAAGTAAAGGTATAGTAGTAACCAAGTGTATCTTAAAGAACTTATTCATCTCTGAAATAAATATTAAAAACTATTTTACAGAAGAAAGCATGGCCTAGCCCATCATGAAAAGAAATTAGTAGCACAAAAGCACTCACTTACTAAATCTATATCTATACTAACAAATTTATAGTAGAAAGATGTCCAGACAAGAAATAAACTATACAACTATTCAAACCAACAACTTACTAAGCAAATATATTGCAAAACAAATAGAGCTTAAACAACTCTTAAGCAAGTATAATTGAAGGAAAGCTTACTCTAATTCAAAAGATTAATTATAATTAACCCAATTTGATATTGATGACCAGTAAGGCTAAAAGGCTAACATAAAACCTTTTTGTTGAAACTTGCAAACTAATCATCTGACAAAACAACTATATCAAAACTACCAA